CTTGTTGTGGGTGTGAGAACAGTTCCCCGGGTGGAGCTAGGAACATCCTCCTTCTCCCCCATACCTGCCCACATCATTTGGTCCCCAAAGCTGCCTCCCCACACTGCATGAGATTGTATCATATCGACCCTAATGTCAAGTGGTATAAATAGATGCCCCAGGTCTCTGTCGAAGCCCCGGTTCATCACTCACAGCCAGACACCTGACCTGTTTGGTGCAGCTGAGACAGACAGACGCGCCTGCGTGCACTTGCCTGGGTACGGCTGGGGCTGGAAGGAGCCTTCTGCCGTTTCAGAGTGTTCCCTTCCTGTCTGGGCCCCACAGGAGCCCCTGCTGCCCACGTGGTCACGAGCCTGAGCCACTGGGTGAGGAACACTCCCGCTGAGCCCAGCTCCAAGTGCATTTGCATTTCTTTGCCAGACTCGAAGCTTTGGGATGGATGAACGATGCAGGGAAACCTCACGAGAACTGGCAAGGATTGCTAACAAGCAGGCCTGTCTGGAGTGTAGGATGAAACTATTTTCTTCTTCTTTTAATTAAATTACATTTTTTCAACACAGTTTCCAGCCAATATTTCGTGGTAGTCTTAGGGGTGCAGCCCGGCAGGTAGACGGTCATTTACTTGACGAAGTGGTACCTGGTATTTCCGGTACTCACCTGGCAACCTTGCATAGTTACTGCAATGTTATTGACAAGATAGTCACAGGATGTGAAGCACAGCGTAGGGAAGCTATTTTCTTCTTTAGAATTCTGCAGACTCAGAATCTCCCCCCGCCCCACCCACCTGCAACACCCTGTGTTCTGCATGTCTTTGGAAAACAGTCTCTAAGGCAGTGTGTAAATGGGGGGAGAATTTGTTTCTCGAAACTTGTTTGCCATGAAAAGGAAGCCTCTGGGGACAGGGTGGGAGATTGCTAAGCTAAAACTGCCGAGTAAGACACACAACACAGAGAAGTCTGCTCTGCACTGCAGTCCTAGAAAGAAACAAATGAACGCAGCTTGGATTTATGACTTGGGTCCTGACCTGCTCTTCGTTCTTGGCTCCACTGACATGGCCACCGTGACCGGTCCCCACTGCCGGGTGGTACCTGGCCTTCCGAGAGGTCTGCCTCGGTCCTGTTGTTGGCTGTAGTCGAACAGGAGGCGTGAGTCTCTCTTAAGGCAGACGCTTGTCCACTGCCTCGCTGATGAGTGATGGAGGACACCCCACCTTAGGCTGAGAGGAGGCCCTGGCGTGTTTCTTATCACCTGTACCCTGAGTGGTGGACTGTTGATTCCAGCCCGTGGCTGTGATGTTGATGTGGTGGATTGGAGGTTCCACATGGGGCTGGGACATGGACGGAACCCTGCAAGTGGACAGTCAGGCGCTCAGGAGTGGCTGTCAGTGGTGGGGAGATGGAGGAGTGTGGGTGCATCCCAGCAAACCCCACCCCGCCCCCGGCAGGAAGTCACACTGGTTCCACGGCGTCTTGAAAGGGAATTGCACATCCACCTGGCACTTAATAAAATTGGTTGTTTAGTTTGTATGTCTTTGATCACTAGAAGGTTGAGTTTGGTTTCTCAGGGGCTCACTGCCATTTTCAGTGCATTGTCTGTGGGGCCCTAGGCCATGAATGTCTTTGGTCAACCTTCCCGGTCTGCAGTGGCCCTGCTCCGTCAGCTGATTTTCCCCACTTCACCTCTCCCTTATTCGATGCCATGGAATTGTCACATCTGATTCCTCTTACAATGACTACCTGGAGCAGTGTCAGCTACTGGGATAGAAAGCTCACTCCGGCTCCCAGAACCTGCCTTTGTGTGCCGTTCAGCTCGTGTCTGCAGGGCCGTGAGCAGTAAAGCAGAAAGCACCCTTAGCTCCTCATTTCTCCCCCACACGGGGCTCTCTGCCAGCACACTGAGTCCATACCAGCATTTTAGCTGCACAAAACCCTGTCCGGTGCTACGTGTAGCTCTAGTTAGCATGACTGTGGAAGCTCAGCTTTCCACTTTTAAATCTGGACTGGGAGAGGAACAGGATGTTTATGTAACATGCCGTGCTTGCTCCATCACAGATCTTCTCAGCTCTGGTACTGGGCCAGGGGGTCAGGGAGGGACAGGGAGGCCGGGTGCCCTGCTCCTGCCAAGCCTTGAACGAAGTCCCAGTGGTGTTTACTTCCGGTCCCACCGCCAGGTCTGAGCAGACCACCCACTCCTGTGCCGCAGAGAGAAACACTTGGTTCCCTGCAGGTGCTGGTGGATTCCTGCGTGTGCTTCCCAGTAGAGAGCGAGCCGGGAGCACCGCCAAAAAAGGGGAGCCTGTCCAGTCCCCACAGGATTATTTTCCAGGCCACGGACCTCCCGGTGAGGCTGTGGCGTCCCTGCAGACCTGCTACACGGGACACCTGGCTGGACTCAATGGCAGATGCAGAGGGCTTTACAGGCCCGGAAAGTGTGTCACTTCGTCAGGAGGCGAGGGCGGGGCTAAAGGCAGGTCATGAGGGCAGGGACTTTATCCAGTGTCCGCTGCTCACCCCAGCACCTAGAACAGAGCCTACATGCCATGGGCCCCCAGTAAAGGGCGCAGGATGAATGGGAGGACCTGGAGGCAACCGGGATGCGCCTGTCTCAGGTGGAGTCCTCATTGGAAGAACGTGCCTCTGGGCAATAGTTGGCTTCTCCTTACACTTCCTGTGAATGAATGAATAAGGCTATTTTTGGACTGAATGGGACAAGGACTCCCAAACAACACTGACATCTAACCTACTGCTTTGACAGCATATGTTCAGCTAGACCCAGGGTGCAGATCACTCTTTCGATTTAAGTACCTCTTCAGTCTGTTCCATTAATGACCTGGGCTTGTCGATGACCCTGGACTAACTGGTGATTTGTATAAATGTTCACACGTTTCCTTCCATCCTGCTGTGGTATGGCTTTTTTTCTCCTGAACCTCTTAGTGCTATGTCTTTGTTTTCAAAAGATGTACAAGGGCACCTCTTCTACCCACTAAGGGGCAAACTTCCTAAATTCAGGCTTTATTCATTCAGAGAAGGGTAATGAGTCTTCTTTCATACCTACAGCATTGCCTTTTCTAAAACAGACTTAAGCAGACAGTGGCAACTGCTTTATACCAAAGTCATTTGGAGCCTAATTCTCCTCTCGCATCTGCGACATCAAGATCCCGGGTCCTGGACCATGGGGCACAGCCTCTGTAGATTGTCACCCTAAGGTGACACGTTGGCCCTGGCTGCTCCTTTGGACACTGCTGTTATTCTTAGGGACCTAAGTCACTTTCCCTTCACCCCCTTCTCCTGACTCCCCAGACCCATTTGGGATGGGGGATGGTTATAGCAAAGTCCCTTGAAACTTGCCTGTTGGTTGAGTCAGTCAAGCAGCTGCTGGGGCATCGACAGTCCGGGGAGGGTCCCACTGAGCACGTGTGCCCTAACCCTAGGACAGCTTGTCAGGTGTGAGACCATGTGACTCCGCATGGAAGCCCAGGGCCAGCTTCTAAACTGTGGGTTCGGCCACTAACATGTCACGTCAACATTCTGATTCCTGGGGAAAGGGGAGGGCCAACAAAAACACCCTCCAGTGAGACAAAATCTGCAACAGAATCTACTGGGAGGAACAAACTCTGCAAAACCAAGCCACAGCTATCATTGTTTTGGCCAGGATAAAGGAGGTAGGTACCTTAGAAAGTACCAAAGGCATTAAAATTCCAGGTTTTCTTGAAACATTTTACTGGTTAAAAATATATATATATGCCTGTGGGCAATATTTGACTTCCAATTTCTATACCCTGTGGCGGGGATAAAAATTGATTACAGCTAGAAATCATTACTGCCCAACAATATTGAATTCCACCTTGTTGCTTGATGCTGTCCACTCAGATGAACTCAAAGCTGCAGATAATTCTTTGTAGTTGAAGGACTTCTGCCCCATTAATGACCTTGGCCCAGGTCAGGACCAACCGTAGTTTTGAGCCATGACTGAATGTAAAAGCTTGAAGTGACTTTGTCTGTTAAGAATATGTTCAGCCACAAATAACCGAAAATTTGGCCAGCAGTAGCTTCAGCAAATAGGGAATTGTTTTCCTTATAATAAGATGTTCAGAGGCAGGTAGTGACTGATGGTGGTTCAGTTGATCTAGTGCTACCTGGGCTTCAGTCTTTCTGATCCACGTTACCCAGCATTTTGATATTAATCTTCACCTTTGCCATAACTGCACACCTGTGATCAAGGTAGAAAGAAGTAGGGAAGGGGAGCATCAGCTGCATCTGTTCACCTGTTAGGAAAACAAAAGCTGTTCTAGAAACCCTCTCCTTAGCCTTTCCCTGCAGGATTATTGGTCAGAACTGTGTCACATGACTGCCCTTAGCTGCAAGAGAGGCTGGGAAATGGAGGACTTTTTTCTGTTCAGGCTCCATGTTGGAGGAGAACGAGGGAGGATGGGTCAGAAATAGGTGTGTGTGAGCTTACACTCGGGGATGACTGCACAGAAACTCCTTTCCAATACTCTCATTATACAGATGACCAAACTGAGTTCCCCAAATGCAGTCCTGTGACTAGATAAAGTTAGGGTGAGTTCTAGAGCTGGGGTCTCCTAAATCCCAGTCCAGGAAGCCGCCCACTGGACCACACCATGGTTATAATTTGACAGAGTCTGTGACTGAAGCTCTGTTGGGGAAGTAGAATATCCTCCAGAAAATGAGGTGATAGATACGAACTCTCAGCAGTGGGTAGAGGACACAGTGGCTGCCACTTGAGCTTTCCTTCCTCCTTCCCTAAGAATCTGAGATAATTCAGTGTGAGTCCCAGAAGCTGGGCCAAGTCAGTCCGGGACGCCTCCCAGTTTCCCCCGCCACACAGACTGTTTAGCGTCTCATTCCTCTGGCGCTGATGTTGTCGTGTGTCCTAACAGAAGCCGTCTCGTGATGAGCGCCATGACGATGCAGAATCTCCATGTCCTTGTTAATGTGCTGTTCTTGTCTTCTGTCCCCTTCTGTTGTCGGACCAAACAGAAGTATTCTGCTGTTTCTCTCTGCAACATCTCCACAGAAGTCCTGAAAGTCATCAACGCCACAGAGGAGTTGATAGCAGAGTCGACAGGGCCCTGGGAGTCCCCGCCTGTCCCTCCCGACAGAGAGAAGGGGACATTTCCTCTTGGAACAGACCAAGTGAGGCTGGACGAGCAGCTGACTTCCCTGGAAGAGAACGTAAGACGGTGTGGATGGGCTTTGTCTAGGGCAGGCATGTGCGAAGCGGCAGCTAATGACGTTATAACTCATCACAAAGAGTGCAAGGACCCATACACACCAGCAGCAGCACCAGCACCAGCACCAGAGCAAACACATTCTCAGGAAGGCTCTTAGGCTGGGGTCCCGAAGCAGATCCTGAGATGAGGATTCGCGGACACCTTATTTAATAGGGAAGTGCTCCCAATTAATAGGGTAGGTTAGTAAGGGAGTGGGGAAAGAAAGCGAGAGAGAGAAGCCAAACAGAGGCGTGATCACAGACAAAGAGTAGCTTCAACCTGTTCCTGCAGGGAACACTGGGGTGGAAGCCACATCTCAGGGTTATCCTGGTCTAGGGAAGAGGAGCTGGCCCTTCCTCTAGCCAGCAGGCTCTTCTGTCCCCCTGCATGCAGGCAAGGTGACAGTGGTATCCACAGGTAGCCCGCAGTGTAGATTTGAGCTGTTGGGGACGAGAGGGCACTGAAGCTTGAGGGGCACAGGTGGGACTCTGTGGAGACCATCCAAGGGATGCATGGGGACCAGGTAGAGCATTGCCCAGAACCAGGTTGGTGGCCTCAGAACCTGGGTGACTTCAACTGGTCTGTGCTGCTTCACAGGTAAGTCAGCAGGCAATAGAGTTTTCTATCCTTCTGACTTGTGAGGACCGAGAGAATGCAATAGATTCTTATACATAAATATCCACGATCATTGCTGAGAATTTTAATCAAGGTCCAATGAGAATTTTCCAACGATGCCGACTGGGGGTGACACAGAGATTTGGACATTAGCCACTCAGGCCACAGTCACCATCGCCAGCTGGCACAGTCCTGTCCGCGAAACTGGTGTCAAGTCAAGTCAGCTGATCCCATCTCTGTAGACCCAGCAGAATGAGCCCTGATGTGGGGGCTGCTCAGATGAAAGCTATTCTCAGACACCAGGACTGGTGTCAGAGGGAATCTTTGCTAAAAGCGGAAACGACAAATCAAAGTCAAAGTTTTACAAAAAAGCCAATGTTTATTCCACTTCGGACACTGAAGACTCTGTCCCTGTGGATTTTCATGAAACCTAAGCCTGTGTCTGTCGGAGCACTCGCCTCTCTGCTGTCCTTTCTGGTCACCCATCTGTCCCTCCTTAGGTCGGCAGCACGCACATCCCGGGTCAGATAATCCATGTTGTAAGGGGCTGCCCGGTAGGGTGTTCGGCAGCATCTCTGCCCGTTAGATGCCGGGAGCAGCAACCCCCTAGTCGTGACAATCAAGTCTCCAGACATTGTCAAATGTTGCAGGGGGCAATGTGGGGAGCCAGGGGCCCTGTCACCCCAGGTTGGGAGCCAGATTTATAAATTCCTACAGAGCGGAGCCTGCTGGCTCTATCTGTAGCCCAGGCCCTTGGCCACAGCCTGACACGCAGGAGATGCCCGAAGAGTGATGACCTCAGATGAACGAGGCCCTTTTTTCTTTCTTTTAAAGACTGATGTGAGAAACATTGATTGGTTGCCTCTCGCACACCCCCAACTGGGGACCTGGCCCACAACCGGGGCATGGGCCCTGACTGGGAATTGAACCAGTGACCTTTTGGCTTGCAGGCTGGTGCTCAATCCACTGAGCCACACCCACCAGGGTTGAATGAAATCCTTTTTTTTTAAAGAAATGATTTACTTCAACTATGCCAGGTGTCTGTTCCTTCACTATGCCTATAATCCAGTTCTTTCAGTGGTCATGGTCCTAAAATGGCCCTAATCCTGGACACACTGAATTGAACAGGTTGAAATCAAGATATAGTTCACCAGGACAGGGATGCGTTGTTTTTTTTTTTTAAGTATGGCGCCAAGAAAACTTACAACGCGTGAAATGATCGGGATTTAAATGATAACAGCCAGTCCCCATGGCACAGTTAAAGCAAAGGCAGCATAGCTTTCTCCTCCCCCAGGAGCATGACAAATGTCCTTGTTGGAATTGTCATTTGTTAAGATCTTTTTATTGCACATTATGCTGCTTTTCTTGGGTTTGTTAGCGCTTCCCGTTTGCAGCACACCCACCTGCCCACTGATTCGGGGTGTCACTCATCTCCAGAGGGCCACGGGCTGAAAGGGCAGCGTTTGTCCTTCACTGTCCAGCACGTCTGAGCAGCATCTCCTGTCCCCAGACAGTTAACTACGTCCCTCCTGCTTCCCTTCCCCGCTCCAGCTTCGAGTGCCCCCTCGGAAGAAACCCCTTCTGTGTTCCTTTGAATTTTATGGGGTTTCTTTCTTTCTTTCTTTTTTTTTTTTTTTTTGAGCCAGGGAAGGGCTGACTCGTTGCTTTATGTCTTTATCGCACCAGATCACAGGGCCAGGGCAGGATGCCTCGCTCCTCGGTTTCCAGACGGAATCCGTGTGAGCAGCAGGAGGAGGGCAGAGCCCGGTCCGTACACCGGCCTCCGGGCGCAGCTGATTTCATTAAGCCCTGCCTTTTGTCTTCCCCCCTGAAGAGCACGCCTCATCCCCCCCGCCGCCTTTCTCCTTTGTGCCGAGGAACCCAGGGGCCGCCGGAAATAGAAATAGCAACACTTTTTCTCGCCTTCTGAACGTTGGCTACTGCAGACCAGGACTCTGAGATGAAAGAGAACATTGGCTTAAGAATGTTTCGCCTTTAAAAATACTTCTGAAGGCTTCAGAGCTGTGTGAGCTAAAAATGTCACATTCATATGTCAAGTCTATGTTCATAAACTGCCTCGTTAATCCACTTAATTAGAGGGAGGCCTGGGGAGTTCAGAATTCCCTTCGGCTCTCCGCTTTGACGCGTCCCGCCCACTGCTGCAGCCGGCACTCTGAAATGAGCTCTTTCTCCCCAAAAGGCAGGAGGAACCTCGGGCCAATGCCAGCCTCCCCTGCACATACAATGGGGCCTCGGTTTCTTGGACTGAATGCCCAGGTCTCCCGGGGCTCTTGCTGAGAGCGGGGAGCACAGGAGTCTATTGTCCCTGTTGGGGACTGGCCGGGAGAGGAAAGGTTCAGGAAAGGATGACTAACTGAGGTGTGGGCAAGGTTGTGGGATGCTGTGACATCCAGAGGGTAGCAGGAGGAGGAACGGGTCACCAGCCCGAAGCAGGGTAGCCCAGGCAGAACCACATCCTGGAAGAGCGCCCCTCTTCCAGGGGAAGCCGTGACCAGGGAGGGAGCCTGGGCCAGGAGAGCCTGGGGGAAAGACTCCAGCTTCTTTCTTCTCCTGACTTTGACCTCTTGCTGGTGTCTCCCATTGGCCAAACCCATCCCAGCCAGCAGGGGAGCCTTGGTGATGAAGTTCATAGAGGTCAGCCGCACATGGAATGGGTCAGGGTGGAGAAGGATGGAAAATGGACCGAGGGGTCAGCAGAGAGACGCTAGCAGGGCCAGGGCCTGTGCTGTGCGTACCGGGGACCCGGTGGGCTCCCTCTCCCTCCCAGCCCTACCTGAGGACCTTGTTTATTCTCATCTTTGCTGAATAACTGAGACAGCCAGGGGTACCCCGTTGTTCCCCGAAGGGGCTGTGCCACTGTGACTTGTGGAGGTGGCCATGGCTTCTTGGGCAGTTCTCTAACCCCGGAGAGCAAGGAAGGAAATCCCACTTGTTACTAACATTGGATCCCTAAAGTGTATTTTATGGAAGCCAAGTCCAATAAGATAAGATGCTCTAAGACCAAGTAAGATTGGGAGATGTGTACACGCCTTCTAGGAAAACTGAGACACGTTAGCCCATGCAAGACTCTGGGAAGTCCTCCAGTAAAGAGGTCCAAGAACTTGTTCTATCTCGGGAGCTCTGGCCACAAAGGGCTTCTTTAATGGAACCCCATTCTCACCCCTTGTCCCATGTGGAGAAAGACTCATTGCAGTCAATGGGTCATTGCCTCGGGGCCTGGAGTACGGCGAGGTCTTACATTACTCGGACACGGTACCCACAGTTCTCACCCCAAATGGGCCTTCGCTAAGCCAGCAGTTCCCAGTGAATGGTTTTCAGTGGGTTATTTTTTAAGGTTATGTAACATTTTCATTATACGGCATGTTAAATTTTGTAACGTCAGCCTGGCCGCAGAGCCCCTGTCCTGCCAACCTGTAACCACAATAACCCCAGGACCTTCGCGTCAGAGTTTGAAAGGTAAAAGCCAAGACATTCTGACCACGGCAGAGTATCACAGCATCACGGGGCAGGGCGCGGAAAGGTATGGGGTCTGGCTCAGCGCCCCCGAACTCAAAACCACGCCCCGCCCCTTCCCAGCCGAGACAATGGGGAAGTCACTGAGCTTCCAGGACACAATGTTCTCTTCTTTAATACGTGGATGGCACCAGCACCCCCCTCAAGGGTTGCTGGGAGCATTAAATAAGTCATATATAGCCCTTAGCTCAGCACCTGGCTCGATAAATTCATGTCCTCATCACCACCCCCTCCCCCTCCTCCAGCCCAGCAGGCACTGCCACCTTTGGCTGGGAGTCCCTGCCCAGCTGGCTTTGGCACCAAACCACAGAACCTCTCCTGGTGCCAGGAAGGCAGGGGACACAGAGTGAGAGATGAACCTTCTGGCCTGGCCGAGGGCTGGGAGCTATTTCCTATTGTTTTGCTCTGGCAGAGAAAGCAAAGAACATCAGGGGGTGACCGTGGTGACAGTGGGACAGCGGGACAATGAGGTGCTGTCAAACTGACACAGCCGCAGGGGTGATGACATGGAGTTGTACGTGTTTCTGCAAGAATCCAGGTTCCCAGACCAAAGTCACGTCAAGTTGTATCTAATCATTACCACAGTCAAATTATTCATTTTACCTAAATAATACTTCCAAATGTTGTTCCATGTGCAAAACTGCAAGTTTACGTTTACAGTTATCAAAATAAGTTTACTGTGCGCGTGTGTGTCTGGAAAAAGTGTGATGTCCAAGCTCAGAACTGCCCTTGCTGTCCCTGTCTTCTCCCCCCCTTCTCTCCTTCTCATTCTCCTCAACTTTTCCTCCCCTGTGAAAAGTTCTTCAACTTGGAAACTGCTAAGAGACAAACTTTTAATTTCTCCACTTGGCTTTGAAATACTCATTTCCTCCATGTAACAAAGTCACACTTCTTGTTTTGGTGACAAAGACTAAAGGGCTACATTAAACCCAGAGGATCTTTCAGAAACAAGTTCTCTAATACTTGCATATGATAAAGAAAATAAAATTAGGGGAAAATGAACTATGGCCAAGGCCAGCAAGCATTTGGTTGACGAATCTCTTAACACGATGTTCCCGCGTCTGCCACCCCGGAAGCCCCCACAGCTCAGCCCCTTGTGCCAGCTGGTGCACAGGCAGGTTTGCTTTTCTCAAACCTACCCTGCCTTTACTCTGCTTTGAAACGTCTTGTGAAGTTGCCAGTTTTAATGCAGATGCGTGGATCATGCCAAGGAGCTGGGAGAGGGGAGCTCCTCGGGCCCGCTCTTCCCACCGCGCTCAGCCTCGCTCAGCACCAAAGGCGTGCGTGACTCGCGGGCGGTAGCTCTCAGCTTGACTGATGCAGGCATAGTTTTAACGCAAGTTAAAGGAACTGCAAAAGGGCTGACTGGACTGGCTGCCTTTCATGCACATCAGCCCTGTCCGGCTGTGATGACGTGTCCAGAGCTTTACAGAGGCTGACTAAGCCTCACGGGCCTCTCTTTCGGGAATCACCTTCTTTAGAGACATCCAGTTCTCTGTGTTGGCAGTTGCCATTTTCCCACCGTTAACTGGGCTGAAGAAGCTTTTGTTCCCTTCACCCTGGGTGGGCGTCGCCCAGGCTGAATTATTCCAACACGGTTACGTTCTGTTTGCCCTCTTTTATAGGATTACCTTATAAACTCAAACATTGAAAGTTGTTTTTCTTGCCCTGAGCAGCATGGCTTAGTGGGTTGGGCATCATCCAGCAAAGCAAAAGGTTGTCAGTTTGATTCCCAGTCAGGGCACATGCCTGGGTTGTACCAGATTTGGTCTCTGGTAACAGCATAAGAGAGGCAACCAATCAGTGCTTCTCTCTCACGTCAATGTTTCTCTCCCTCTATTTCTCCCTCCCTGCCCCTCTCTCTAAAATAAATAAATATCAATCAATCAATAAATTTTAAAAACTTTTTCCCTTAATTTTTCTCAAAGTACTTAACTCCCTTGATCTGATTTTCTCTTTAAATCTCCAGTAGCTTACAGAAAAACTCTGAATTGATGCACAAATAGATTTGACATGCTTTTCTTAACAGCACACTATTTTCTAAGAAATAAGGTATTTTCCTACTATAATTTCAGGTTTGTTTGATTCCCTTAGCCTATTGCAAGCAAGCTGAAGGTCATTAGTCAAATATAAGTCACTCAAAATTTGTAACTGTTTTCAACGAATTTCACAGATTTCATGTTCTGCAAATTTTTCTCAATTACAAAATGCCATCAAAAATTTTTATTAGAAAAACCACATCATACATTTTTCCCTTTGTTCTGTCTTGATAGTATACTTACTATAGTCACTGGACAAATTCACAATTTGTGCAGCTGATGTCACACATTTTTGTATGATTTTATTGTGTTTCCAAATGTTACAAACTGCTTTTTCTTGCAGGAAAGCTCAGGGAGGGGCATTGACAGTGAGGGGGTGGCAAGAGCACATGCGGCCGCCATTTAAGCGCAAAGTGTTTATAAGTAGGAGCATTGCCTGTCCTTCACCCCCAATAATGAGTCTAGTTCTCTCTCACTCCCCTGAGTTACCAGGGTCCCCTGGAAAGCCCCAGAAGTCCTGGGTCTGCAGCCCTGAGCTCCAGACCACGCCTCCTCCGCAGGTGTACCTGGCGGCAGGCACCGTGTACGGACTCGAAGGCCAGCTGAGTGAGCTGGAGGACGCTGCCCGGGGCATCCACAGCGGCACCAACGAGACCGCACTGGCAGAGCTGGAGGACCAGGTGGCCACGGCTGCAGCCCAGGTCCACCATGCTGAGCTCCAGGTACGAACTCTCCTCTCTGCCCACATGGGGGACCACCAGCCGAAAGGACAGGGCAGCCCATCTTCCACAAGGATTGTTTCAAAGCCTTCATATCTATCACTTCTTGTTCTATCACCGCCATTTATACCTCACTCGCATGGCTATGATCCTGCAGGGTAGATTCCACCAGATCCTCCTCTTTCAGAGGACAGCCTTCCTCTCCCAAATGACAGCTTCCGTAATATACCAGACCTTAGTGGCACAAAACAGCTGCAGCAGGGGAGGCAGCGGGGCCCTCAAGGTGCAGCGCACACATTGGCTGCTGGGCCGACATTCGCCCCTTGTCTGTGCCACCTCAGTGGGACCACCGTGATCCCCACTTACTCTGCCGATCTTCTGCCCCTTCCAGTGTGGCCATGCCAGCCTCGGCAAAGTGCTCTGAGAACGTGGCAATGTGGCAAGAGCAGAGGCCTTAGCACCGATGCCAAGGTCTGCCCAGACCACATGTGAGATGTGGGTTGTGCTACTTATCCCTGTGAGCCACAGCTTCCTCACCTGTAAAACCGAGAGAGTGGCGCCATTCTCATGAACAAGTTCCCCTGTTTAGAGCACTCGGTGTGGTGGCAGCAAACAATAATGCCATTTTCCAGGAGCAGGTCCTGTGTCTTCTTCATCCTCGGGACAGGGATGGGCTCTCCCTACCTGCTCTCCCCACCTGCCTTAAGACGCTCTTGAAAGGAAATCTGAGCTCCTTCTGCCCTTCCAGTGTTACAGTCAAGGAAACTAATGCCCAGAGAGAGGAAGGAGTTTCTCAAGGCCACCTGGCCTCTTAATAGAGGAAATGGACTTGAACCAGAGGTTGCAGGGGGATCCCTTCTGAGACTCAGCACTCTGGTTTTGGACTCATGACGTCGTTGAAAAAATGAAGCACTGAAAAATCGTGCTTGCTTTTCAAAGCTCACACCAAGTGTTACCTGCCATAGAAGCCTTCCCTGACCACCCCACCTCAGACTGCCCTGGCCAGAATTCCCATGGTTCCCTGGGCTTCCGTGTATCCCTAGAGGTACTCTCACTGGGCAATGCTCTGGATTTACCAACTAGAAAGTTAAGCCTACGAAGAAGGGCCTGTGTTTTATGTTCTCACTATAGTGCTAGGTAGGGAAGTGCTTGGTAGAAGTTGAATGAATGAATGAATGAATGAATGAATGAATGAATGAGTGAGCATGCATCGAAGCAGACTTGTTCTTCATAGATTTATAACACTTTTAGCGAGACTCTCTCCTCCTATGCTTTCTCCCTGCTGATTCTGTCTTTCTGCTGCATTAAGATTTCCGACATCGAGAGCCGGATTTCAGCCTTGACCATCGCAGGCTTAAACATTGCACCGTGTGGGCGCCTCACGAGAAAACGAGATCAGAAGCAGAGGAACCAGGTGTGTTTGCCCCTCGCTCCTTCTGTGGGAATTTTGCACAGTCTAGAAAACTGAGAGGAGAAAAGGTTTGGGCTTCGAGAAGGTGTGTTGACCGACCGCTGTGCTCTGTTTGTAGGTACAAACTATAGACACGTCGAGACAGCAGAGGAGGAAACTGCCCGCTCCGCCCATGAAAGGTCCGCTTAAATTAAAACCCGAGAATTGAGCCTGACTCCTTAACTTTGAGTAACTCCGAAGTCTGCCTTTGAGGACCAGGTCTAAAGGGGGGTTCTCACCCCGAACTGCTCTTGTGGACAGTCTCTCTGGACTGGGATCCCCCAGGAAGCAGAACCTGGGACTCGGATATGAGTGCAAGTCACGTATTTGGGAGGTGATTCCAATAAGCACTGGTAGGGGAAGAGAGAAATGACTCAGGGAAGAGAGTTAAGCCAATATGATGTGTTAAATACTTCTGGGAATTTCTGGGAGACGGTACTGATGGCACCTCTGAGTTTCTTGCCCAAAGAGTAGAAAGATGAGTTGGTTCAACCCTTATCCATCACTGGCTGCAGGTGGTCCCTGTGGGGCATTAACTTCCTGGTACTTCCGCCCTGCCCCAGGCCTGGGCCACAGGGAGTGGCGGGGCTTGCTGTGGGGTGCTGTCAGAATGCGCTAGAGCAGTGACTGTCAGGGAGATGAGGACAGGGCACCAAAAGCATCTAACCTGGAAGGGACTCCAGTGACCCCAACTGTATCACCTTTATCCTGGACATTGTGGACAGTTTCTCTGGCTTCAGGAGCCACATAATGACGATGCCAAACTAGAAACTTAGGTCTACACATTAGAGGAGCAGAATGTCAGAGGATGAATGTTTAAATCTTGGTTCTACCATTCCTTGTTCAGGCAGTTATTGCTTGTCTACTTTATATTCCACAAAAACTTATACAATTAAAATTTATTTATTGAGCTCTGGCCAGGGGGCTCAATAGGTTGGAGTGTTGTTCCATATACCAGAAAAGTTTCAGGTTCAATCCCTGGTCAGGGCACACACCTAGGTTGCCAGTTTGATCCCCAGTCGGGGCACCTACAGGAGGTAACCAATCGATGTTTCTCACATCAATGTTTCTCTCTCTCTCTCTGTCTCTCTCTCACACACACACACACACACACACACCCTCTCTCTAATAATCAGTAAACACATCCTCAGGTGAGGATTTAAAAAAACTTATTACAGATCCATGATACCTTATTCGAGACCCTTAGGTCAGTATGTTTCAGAATTTCTTGGACATTAAGGGAAGGGGCTTGGAGGGCTGGGTGGAAAAGATGAAGGGATTGAGAAGTTCAGACTGTCCCTTACAGAACAGTCACGGGGATGTAGATTACGGCATAGGGAACATTGTCAGTACCGTCGTGATAACTAGGTATGGGGCCGGGGGGTCCTCAAAGCAGCGGAGGGGGGCCACGCTTAAAGTACATGATTTTCTTACCATTATGCTGTACATCCGAAACTAATACAGAATCATATTGAATATGAACTATAATATATAAATGAAAAAAGAAAGGTAATATGGCGTATGTTCTGTATGTTTTGTAACAGCCTCCCCTGCACTGGGGTGTCTGGGGCAGCCCCTGATAAACAGATCAGTGTCCTTGCAGGGAAGCGTGAGGATGTTCACGTTTGGTGGGGTGGATGTGGGCTTTAAATGGCCATGTGTCAGTTCACGTCACATTTTGCCATCAGACAATTTTGGCTCCAAAGTTATAAATGTGTCCAGTTTTCAGAACCTTTTATATTTCCAAATGGCCAATAAGAATTTATGAGCTATATTGGATTACCTCCAAGCTACCTTTTCCCGGAAAGCTACTAATGATGCCTTATAAAAATAAATACAAAGTAAGTCCATGGTCAGACCCGAGGACCAGAATGAGACTCCAGGTCCGGAGCAAACATCTGGGTAACATGGACACCCGGCCTTTCTCCTCTGACAATCAGTCCAGCCTCTGGGTAACACTTATTCTCATTGGTTTTCCTTTAGCTGAAAAACTGGAGGCATCTTCAGTGACCATGAAAACATTCAACCGCAACTTCATTCTCCAAGGCTCCTCGACAAACAGGACTAAAGACAGCCAAAGCGCCACCGAGGATCTGATGGTAAATGCCATTTCTGTCCTAATTCCCATCACTTTCACTGTAGATGGTACCTCCGTCCTGCAGCTGCCTGCCTGCTGCTTCCCCGGCACAGCCCCAGGAGGCGTCCTTTCTGCAGGGTCTCATGGTCTGCTGGGGGGCGCGGGGGCGGGGTCTAAGAGAAGGGACGAACACCTGCCTGGTGTTGCTGGCCTCTCTGCTCTGTGGATACGCCCTCTCAACCGCATCGCCACCTCCTTGTAGAAACCAATTTTGATATAAGAGAAGTAAAGATAGGGACACAAGAAGGTCAGGTCTGGTTGAGGTGGAGGAGTTCTCACTGTGTTTCTGGGCCACATTCACTCTTCCCCAAGTTTCCTGCGTGCCGCTTGTCGTGATCCTGGAACAGGCAGCAGCTGCCCCTACGCAAAGCAGAGAGACAGGCAGCAGACAGTCTGCACCAGCCTGGAGATCACGCTGGCGGGGCTAACAGATTATCTGCCTGAACACAGCGCAGGCTTCAGAACTTTGGCAAGTGTTCGATGCTGCTAGTGAGGAACATGAGGGCCCAGCTAACGCGCCTCAGGGGTACCCTTACGCTAAAGGCAGATGACGTCGGGGGTGACAAGACCGAAGCCATGACAAATGTAATCTATTGCCATTTATGCATCGCTCGTCAGCCCCTTCCCCGTGCCCTCTCTCCTCGTCCTGGTGGCCTGAGTGCCAAAGCACAAGGCAATGGCATCATGCTGGGTATGCCATTTTTTAAAAGATTTAATTTATTTATTTTTAGAGAGAGGGGAGGGAGGGAAAAAGGGAGGGAGAAAGACAGGGAGAGAAACATCGTTGTGCAAGGGAAACATCAACTGGTTGCCTCTCACACACCTCGGACTGGGGTCCTGGCCAGCAACCCAGGCCCGTGCCCCCACTGGGAAGCCAACCCCTGACATCTCCATCTGCAGGGTGATGCTCAGTCCACTGCGCCGCACCAGCCAGGGCCAGGCGTGCCATTTCGAAGCACCAGTCACTGCATCTATTAGGCACCAAGAGGCAGCATTCCTTCCTTGGTCAGCCATTGCCCCTGACCTTTCCAAGTCCAATTATCTTGCTCTTAGCCATTCCTTTAAAGAGCTCGAAGATTCATTATTACACTAACAGGGCAGACCACTGGGGCCAGGGAGGGAATCTGTTATAAATCAGAGCTAAAAACAAATTACCTCTTGTAGTGCCAGGCCGTGGATCGGCAGCAGCCGGGAGCTGGGGGCACAGGGGATGGGAGAGGACTTCTCGGCGGGTGAGAGGTTTTCCGTCACAGCGGCGGGAGTGTGTGTGACCGCTCAGAGGAGGCGCCTGCACACGCACCATGAACGTGTTAGACGCCACCGTTTTCACTCAAAAAGGGCGAATTTCATGTTATGCGAAGGTCACTTTCATAAGTTATTTTTTTTAAATAAGTCACTTTTAAATAACACAGAGAAGTTAATGAAAATATGGACAATATTAATATAAAGAAGTGCAAACAAAATAAAAAAGGGCAGAAAGGTTGCCTTCAAACACAAAGAAGAATTCAAGGCAAGAAGCATTTGGAGAGAAAACAAGGAGGAAGGATGTTTGAATTTTGGTAAAATGAAGTAGACAAACCGTGAGCCTTTCTTACACTGGCAAACAGTGGAGCAAGACAATTGAGCCATGGTTGGTGGCTCTTAAATTCCCTTAATTCAGATATTTGTCTAACTTTATCCTTTATGGAGGAGGATTCGCTTTCCAACCATCAATGGACCATTTATAAAAACTGGTTTTATACCAGTTACAAAGCAAACGTCAATAAATTCCCAACAGTAGAGAGTATAAAACTCCCTTCTGGAGCCCTGTTCCAACAATGTGGAGAACAGCACCCTGTCCGACAGACCTTTCTGAAGTGACCAGGTGCCCCGTGTGCCGGCCCCATGGGGCTCCTGAGCACGTCAGAGGTGGCTGCTGCCTCGTAGAAACTGCTGTTAACCTTGTTGTTTAATTTTTAATTAATCTAAATGTAAACAGCCACAGGTCCATATTGGACAGAGCAAAAGTAGAACAAAAGTTAGAGTAAACAAAAGCCTTATTTTGACTTGTAAAACCTGTGCAACCCCCCGACAAGTACACATACACACAAACATACATGCACACACACTCTGACACACGCTCCAAGGAGTTACGACTAGAGAGAAAAGCAAATCCACAGAGCGTTTCAACAATGCAAACATCACATACAGCAAAACAAATGGGATCCATATAAAACTATACTAGTCAAATTTATAGCATTAAATGCTTTCTTTGTTACTAAGGAAGAGGCAAAACTAATGAACTAGACATCGAATCCCAGACATTGAAGGTAAATGCAAATACCAATTAATTAAAACCAGAGAACTATAGAAATAGTCATAAATTGAAGATTTTATCCTTTGGAAAAGTATAAAATAGAAATTTTTTGTAAGCCAAATCAAGAAAATAAGCAAATAAAATAAAAACAAAACCATATAATAGAGATGTAAAATTTTTACTTATATATATAAATGCGATGTAAATCTATGTTAATAAATTTTAAAGTCTTAATTCTAATAAAATCAAATCTAATGAGAATATGAGTGAGAAGTTATTTAATAAATAAAAGCTTAAAATGTATTAAACCTTCAGAAAAGATTCTCTGGCCAAGTGGGTTTGCTGATAAATTTTGAAGGTGCAGTTTATTCCCATGCAATATAAAAGGTTCTAGAGCAAAAAAGTAAAATGAAATGACAAGATTCATGTTGTGAAGCCACTGTAGCCCCAAGCACCAAAGCCAGGCATGGCTGGTAAGTGATACACCCCCACACACAGACCACACACCACACACGAGTTGTCCTTCGGCAGAGAGACGGCCCACACTAAATACAGTATTAGCAAGTCAGGCACAGCAGTCCATGAAATAGTAAATCACCAGGTAGATTTTACAGGGATACAAGAGTACCTCTACTACTGAGATACTAATAAATCACATCAGTGGTTCAGTAAAACTGATTTCTCAAGTTAATTTATAGTTTGATCAAGTTCTCATAAAAATCTCAGTGGGATTGTTTTAAAGTTCACACAGGAATAAGTCAGAAAAAATAGACAAACGCATTTTGCAAAGTGAAGGTGATTTTCCTGCCAGAGTTTCAAACAAATTAAAAGCTGTAAAGGTATTGATGGTGAACGGCATAGAGTAGAAAGCTCAGTCACATACGAAAAGGCGTCATATGAACATTTCGAAGCATTAGGAACTGGTAGGGAAGGTACAGAGTGTCCTTTTTTAATGTGCTTGGGAGGTTGGCCAAGCGGTAGTAGTGGGAGGGGCACCAGTTTGCCTTATTCCATATGCCACAATAAATTTCAGGTGGATTAAGATGCACATGCAAAAATGCATCACCTTTGAAATAGCGGGACCTGTGTAGCTGGTCAATGAGCGGGAATACCTTTCACAATATAAAGAAGCAGTGGACGGGTCTCATCGCCTCCGCTCACTGTGCCGAACGGCTGATGAGTGTGCTCATGCTCTCGCCTCAGGAGCCCGCCCTGCAGTCGGCTGCGATGTATTAGCGCCACGGAACACTCCACTGCCAGTGACCCACTGCCGCCGGCCATACACGACAGTGCCTTGACCCCACAGCCATCGAACACTGTGTGGATTCCACCTGAGGACAGGGCCTGGGGAGCCCCGGCGCACAGGGCTGTCCTGACACCTCACCCAGAAAGCCGTCCCCGACTTCAGCATCGTGGTCTCGCCCCCTCTCTGCCTTAGGTTCCAAGAAGTGTCCGAGACAGGAAACTGAGATGCCGGCTTCCAACAGCAGAGCTCCACGTCAAAAAATGTGTCATTTCCCTGTTGGCTCTGCTACTGTGTGTCATCTGTAGGACCTTCCTTCCTTCCTTCCTCCTTCCTTCCTTCCTTCCTTCCTTCCTTCCTTCCTTCCTTCCTTCCTTCCTTCCTTCCTTCCTCCTTCCTTCCTTCCTTCCTCCTTCCTTCCTTCCTTCCTCCTTCCTTCCTTCCTTCCTTCCTCCTTCCTTCCTTCCTCCTTCCTTCCTTCCTCCTTCCTTCCTTCCTTCCTTCCTTCCTTCCTTCCTTCCTTCCTTCCTTCCTTCCTTCCTTCCTTCTCCTTGGATTCACCTAGAATCACATATCAACAGTTTGTCCAAAGAAAAGTGTTGGTACAGAGGGAACAGTGGAGGGAATGGAGTATTATCATTCAATTCATCATTAATTCTTCTTAATCTCTTACAAGCCTCTTTGTCCTGCAAACACTAAGGGAAACTCTGAAAATGCCTCTGTAGGGACCATCAAAATCAGAGAGTGCTCAGCCATCAGGATGCAGGTCTCCCTTCAGCCGCCTCCTTCCTGCTAGGGCCCTAGCCCACCGAAGCCCCAGTCATTCCCATCGCTCTGTGGTTACAGGCCACAGCATGAAAGCTCTGATTTGCCCATGCCACACCCAGGTCCATCGGAAACAATGGCTCACTGAGAATTTAGCTTCTTCCCAGGACTTCCTGAGACTCTCCCCACTCTAAGGTGGAGAGGCACTTGAGAAAGACCGCCATTGGCTTAACTGTAGGGCACTGTCCCAAGTGGACATGACCTGGGTGAGCAGTGACCGTGTCTGCATGGTTTAGGTCAGTGCATTGTTGCAGACTGTAGCCAAATGGGAAAATGTCATCCGCCAAAATTTACTTCCCAATAAATATTCAGCAAAAAGTAGTAAAATGACCTTAAAGACATAAATGGTTAAGTAATAGCCAGAAAACTTACAGGTATGAAAAAAAGCCAGGACAAACGGTGAATTGAATGGATAAAAGAGTTGATACTAATTCCATGTTTCTGGTCTCAGATGCGTGACTATGTAGCGTGAGTTTGTAAAAGCAGATGGAACTGGAATTTCACTCAGCCAGTCATTTTGCTAATAGATTCTGAATCTGAGGAAGAAGGCAAAGCTGGGAGGCGAAGGAATAACACAGCTGATGTTCATTATTATTCTCATTTTCATCTGTAGAGCAACCCTATTCAGTAGGTATCACCATTTTTCAGATTTGAAAACTGAGGGCCAGGGAGATTAGTTTGCCAAAGTCACACCTGCAAGCTCGGTATAACTGATATGCCTCACAGGAGCACCCTTCTGAGTTGTTTCCAACTCCTACGTCCATCCGCTGCCGGGCGCTTTCCCAGACCCGACCTGCTGCTCTGAACTGTGTTGTGAGGCCTTCCTGGCGGGGTGCACCTTCCAACATACTTCTCGCCCGATGCTGTGTATGTGTTATCCAACAGAAACGATGCCTTTGAAATAAAGTAAATCTTTGGCTTTTTGTTCCATTGGCGTGATTCGAAGCAAACAAATGCAAATTGGAAAAACACAGCAGAAAAAGGTTCAGAGTTCTAAATAGAGTGTTTCCTTTAAGAGGCATGAAAAGCAACTATTGTTGTGTTACAGTGTTAAAATATTCAGTTTTCCTCGACCAAAAAAAAAGTGTGTGCTGTGTAAGCCTTGCAAAAAGACAAAAACAAAAAAACGAAGAAACCTGCGCCATGGCATTTGAATTTTTATAAAGGTTTCCTTGTGCCAAATAAGTGCAAAGATTTAATTTACTATTAAAAACCATAAGCATATGTTAATGTTATAGTTCCAGAAGAATTATTTTGTCATCAAGTGATTTTGATCTTCAGTGTCAATATTTATATTTAGATTAATTTTTATAATGAAAATATTTTACTGGTTCAAGAAAAGGAGGACATAGGACCGTCTCTTTAATGGCTTCTGAGAGACAAGCTTGCCTTCATGCTGTGTGCACTTTGCCAAGAATCACTGTCAGGAGAGACGATAAAGAAGTAAAAGTCATTTACGAAAATAACATTTCTAGCTGTGTGATTTTCTGGTTTGTGTTCAGTGTTCGGTTAGGGCAGGCTGGGAGAGAAGAAGCATTAGGGAAAGAAGTCAATGGCTAGTCATCCGCGGGGCCAAGGTTCAAGGCCATGGTTGCCCCTGCCCCAGCGTCCTTCCAGGAACCCCATTCACCCCTCCGTGGCTTGCCCTCCTGAGAACAGAATTTTCCAGCAATCAGCGATATGGAGTGGTCACCTGGGTAAGACCAGCAGAGCATGGGGGGGGGAGTGTGATTGCGCCTCTTAGGGGACCTTTTTGATTGTCACAACATGGAGAGGTCAGGATGTGTGCTACTGGCACATCACAGAGGCCAGGGATGCTACTGAACATCCCACAACACACAGGACAGCCTCCCACAGCAAAAAGTGTCCGACTCAAAATGCCAGCAGTGCTAAGGCTGAGAACCTGGGCTAGCCCCTGGACATAAGGCTGGACACCGTCAGGGGACACCCCTGCCCATCTGTGGAGCTGAGCAGGAAGCAGGTGGGGGGGCTCCCCCAGAGTCTTGCACAGGTTCGGGGCAGCTGTGCCTCTTTTGAGTCTGGCCCGTCCAGAACACTGAAGCCAGACATTGTCCTCTACCCTCCGCAAATAGGAACAGGAGCCCTCTGCTGATCTGAAATGCACATGTGAATGAACACGCTAATAGAAGCCATGTGCTTTCTCTGCCTGACGGTCTGATGCAGCCCTCAGAATCGCCTATTAAAACACAGGTTCGTGGAAGAAAGCAGCTGACCCCAGTCCTCGATCGACCTTTCTGCTCTCCCATCACTGTGCCTGGCACAACTGTGTTTGCTCACACTCACAACAAACACACTCACATTTCAGTCGACAGGGCATTTCCAATGGGAGACGTGGGGAGGACAGTATCAAGAGACCCCAAAACCCCTCCAGGCAGCATTTCCTGACTAGAACTCCTGATTTCTGCCCCCTCCCATGCCCCGTCCCCATAAAATAGCAAGACAGTGAAGGGGGCCTGGTCGCCCTCAAGTCACCTGAGCACTCAGCCTCCCTGAGCACTCAGCCTCCCTAACCACCTAGAAGCCCGAACCACGTGGTGAGCCACCAGTCTGCAGGGACAATCTGACGTTCACGAGAATCGACTGAGAGCCAGCAATTTGAGTGTCGAGAGTGATGGGCAGCTACACTGAAAAACTATGCGGCTCTGCTTGCTTCTGGGTACATAGCAACAAGATAATATTTTCCCCTAAGAAATAAGTGCTTCGTTTTTCCATGACAAAAAAAAAGTGACCAAGTATTCAAAGCATTGAGGCTGCCAGAAAAAAAACTAGACTTCACTCTTAGAATTTCCACGTAGCAGCTCTCTGGCCAAGCTCCTCATGCATAAAATGGGGTCACAAACACCAAGGGTATACAAACAAACATTGAGCTACTTATAGTTTATTTAAATTATATTGTATTATTCATGCTGCTACAGTTGTCCCAATTTTTCCCCTCCCCCAACTTCCTCAGGCAACCCCCACACTGTTGCTGTTTATTTTTGATATTTCACAATTTGTATATGAAACGTTAGTTGCATTTTTAGGAGGATATCTATTTCCATGTGTGCTGGTGTCGATAGTTCACAAAGGGTCCTCTATTCACTGAGGTTTTTGATAAAACTTTAAAGCGTAGGAGACATTTGGTTCCGTCCTTTAAAAATAACTTCTCGCACGACAGCCGCTCTGTTTTCTCCCAGAAGCATTCCCCACACACAGTTTGCATTTAGCAGAACAGTTGGTTGCATGAGCCTTCTGTCTCCGCAGCCGAGTTATAATCACGATAACGTACAGGTAAGTAGAGTTGCATTTTTAAAGAGATTTCAAGGGGCTGGAAAACAAGTGTCCACTTTGAACGTTGGAAACCGCAAAGCAGTTATTCAGAAGGATCCAGTCTGGTGGCACCAAGTCTTAAAATATACAAAACGATGTTTTACATCAAAGTCCTCATACTTGATGAAGATGGAGGCCCTGCTTCTCACAGGTTAATGTGCCAACTCTGATTCAGCAGGGCCAGGAGTGGGCCACGGGTGCTGCATTTGTGACGAGCTCCCAGGCCAGACAGTGCTGCCGGCCACCTGAGCAGCGGGGCTCAGTAGGGTCCCTCTGAGAGTGTCCGCAGTATCGAGACCCAGTTACCCACAGTGGTGACCTGTTCACTGGTGCTTCTGTTGTGACTTTGCCTCCCTTAGTGGTCTCACATCCCCCTCCCTCAGCAAGTGCCCTGGGGTGACAGTTTGCTTTGGCCAGGGGACACCAGAGCTGAGATGTCCCCTGCAGGGCATGCACATGTTGCATGTCTTTCTCCTGCTCTCACCTGAAAGCTTCTTGAGGACCAGGGTCCCCTTCACTCCGCACAGAGCCTGGAACAGGGCAGGTGCTGGAAACACACTGGCTCACCGGGGCGGCCCTGGTGGCCGGCTCTAGGCTTTGGGTCAGCCACACCAGGTGAGTGAACTGCAGACCGACTGCAGCGGGGCAGCAGTCTCTCGTGGGGCCGGAGGTGAGCATCTCCCCAATGTGGGAGGGTACAGGAGGTTTCCCGATGCCAGGACGGAGGAGTAGGAGGCTCTCCCCAACCTCTCCTTCACTCTGGCCCCACTTCTAAGAGGGTGGGGCAAACCCAGGGGGGATGAATGGCCCGAGCACCCGCTCCCCAGAGTCCAGAAGCACAGGCTCCTGTATCCGGATGCCCACAACCAGTGGGCCCCAGCAGGGCACCGGCGACTCTGGCTTAGTTTAGCTGGGCCTCTTCAAACAGGGTCCCGGGGCTGAGAAAGAGTTAACACAAGTGCTTGGGTGCCGTCACCCCTTCCTGCCATCGCCGATAAGCCCAGAGAGACTCTGAGATGCTCACTCTTTCTTTGCACGTAGCCCATGTGCCCAGATAGGACCCTCTTCTGTGAATGGACCCTTCCCCTGCATCCTTTGCCCATAAAAGGCTGGAACCTAGAGAGCTCCGAGGTTAGAGCAGCATTTCCCAAAGCGGGGTTCATACCAC